GTGTTGTCCCGGACCGCACTCTGCTGCGTTGGGTCCTGCGATAGTGCTGGTCTCTAAGGTGCCTGTTATAATGTTATGATGGAGGCTCTGGACTCTGAGCATAACTTGTTTTTCTATAACAAACTATAAAATATTTTCTATAAAAATGTTAATGCCCTGGCAGTGGCAGATAGCTTTGGTTTTATATTTAGTTTGATTACATTAATGTTTAAGTTGAGATTTACAAGAAATATTTTAACTGCTACTAAAAGGAATACTGCTGTAAAAAGCACCTTATTTGTTTAAAGTGTTTGCAAACCAAGTGTTATTGCACTTTTGTTCACATAGCAGTACTTTTAAATGAAAAAAGTGTGCAATACACTACTTTTGAATTCATTATTGAATTTTGTGCATAACAATGGGATTAATCTTGATTAATCACAGAAAAATCATGCGATTAATCACGATTAAAAAATGTTATCGTTGCCTAGCACTACTTATTTTTTAACTTGAAAAAGGCATTATTAGCTAAATGTGGTGGAGTTAAAAGTATAATATTTAACACCTTGAAATGTAGTAATGTAATGTGTATTTCAAAATTAACTCTTTCCCTGCCAGCATTCATTCATTCATTCATTCATTCAATTTGCCATCCACCACCAGCATTTTTGATAATTTTCACAGAAATGTCATGGCCCCCAGAATATTTTGTTGTATGAATGTCTGAACATGCAATATGTCAAAAGAAAGAACAGAGCTTCTGCATGTAAAAAAGAAAAAAAAAAAACTTGAATGTGGGTAAGTTTCATAAAGAAACATTTTGAACAAAAAGCAGAGAAAATTGCATTTTTGTCAAAGACTATGTAAAATACAGAAATACAGATACTCAATTCAATTATACAATTAATAAAAAAAATACTAAATTGAAAAAAAAAAAAAAAAAAAAAATTGTTTCAATTTGCCATCCACCACCAGCATTTTTGATAATTTTCACAGAAATGTCATGGCCCCCAGAATATTTTGTTGTATGAATGTCTGAACATGCAATATGTCAAAATAAATAACAGAGAGAGCCTCTGCTTAAAAATAAAATAAAAAATAAAATAAAAAGACTGTTTCCTGATCCTGGTAGTAGACTACAATGCCGGCTGTTCTGACTCACAGACTGTAAGTAAGTTTTCATATTTAAAGAATTTGCCACTGACGATTCAAACGCGAGTTTTGAGCAGTGTAGAGTGGCGCTTGTTATTTCTTGTTTCTCCGATCACAAATGCAGACATGGTTTTATGTTTACGCGGCACGATGCAACGCGGAAAAAGACAGTATAAGTCATTATAATCCGTAATTATGTCCCCACTGGATGCAACAAATGCCTCGTTTATAATGGGTTTTAATGTTTTTGTCTCGTAGCTCCGGCCAGACAGGGCATCACCACAATATGTAAGGGGCGTAACATTTCCGTCACACGCTTGAGGTATTCGGCCAATCATAAGTCACTAGATAGCTGGCCAGTCAGAGCACACCTCGCTTTTCAGACCGATGAGCTTTGTAAAAATCGACG